TCTGGGAGTGGGGGTGGGGGCAGGCCGGGGCCGGGCGAGGGTGACGAAAGGGCAGCGCGCGGGTGACAGCGCTGGCCTCTTCCTCTCCGCCGCCGTCGCTTGGCTGGGCTCCGGGGGAGGAACCTGAGCTCCGGCCCCGTCCAGCTGCCCCGGTTTCCAGACCTGCGATTCCTTGGCGTGCGGGACCTGGCCGCCTTTCCAGCCCCGCCCCCCCCTTTTCCCGTCGAGGGGGACGCCCAGACACCCCACCCCCACCCCGTGTGTGTGTGCTTGTGTGTGTGTGTGTGTGTGTGTGTGTATACACACGCAACGGCGGGTCCGATTCTGTGCACCCGCGTATTTCCACTCCTCCCAGTGCGCCCCAGCGGCCGGGGCGCCCGCGGCGGCCCCGGCGCGTCCCTTTCTGGCGGGCGTGTGGCGAGTGTGCGCTGGGTGAGGGGAGTGAGCGTGTCCACACGCAGGGCTGACAGCCTGCAACTCGGAGCGTCGTTGTCGGGTCCGAGTGGGCGTGTCGGAGGGAGAACGCAACAGGTCTGGACGCATTTCGCTCTGAACCTCGCACTTTTCTCTCCCCCAAAGGGTTCTTGCTAGAGCGCTTTGCACCGGTCTGCGCCCGACGGGTTTGGTGGGCCCCCTCTTAGAAAAGACCCTGCCTCCTTAACCGCGGTCGCTTTGTGCTAACGATTTTTGACATGGTCCAGTTGACATGGTCTAGTTGGATGTGTGGAGTTGCCCAGCTAGCCTCCTCCTGCCGCTGCAGACCCCTTGGCAAGGTGCTTGGGGGCCAATTAATGCGGTGAGGGTTATTTGCAATGGAAACAGGGGTTACTGTCGCTTGAGGAACCGTTCCGTTTGTTTTTGCGTGGAGTATTGTTTTGGTTTCGGGTTGGAAGGTAGCTGTCAAAAAAAGCGTCGAAATTCAATAAACTCCATTTGATGCCTTGCGTTCGGAGATTGTGCTCAGAGATCTGTGCGGTGGAGGGGCGGGTAAGCAATTTGCCCTTAAGATACATAGGGGTGCAAAAGCCCCACTCCGCTTCCCACCGTCAGCCCATTCCCCTTTCCTTGAGGGCCCGTGAAGCTAATGGTTTTTAACATCTTCCCCAGGAAAAAGTTTCTTCTGACTGGGCGGAATTTTACTTTGATGTCCCAAATGTGCTTTACGAAATGTCCGCCTATGAAAACATCTTGATTATTAGCAACCTTCTGGCAACCTAACCCTCTTGAGAACATGCTGAAAACTGGGGCGAGTTTAGAATGCAGAAAAAATGATCCTGAGCATTTCATTGCTATTTTACCTTGGTTGTGATTTACTTGGTTTACAGTTTTGCATTCACCCACCTGCCTCGTTTTTCAGTATTTTAATAATTCGGAAAGAAAATATATATTAGTGATTAATAGTATTTCATTATGGGGATCTTCAGCAGTTAAAAATGTAGCTTCATATAGATGGTATTGGGAGTTGTAAGAACTGAGCCAGCTATATTTGAATTAGTAAGCAAAAATTGTAATGAGAGACTACTACATATTCTATTCTGATTTTCTGAAATTTAAATTTTGGTTGTCCTATCTACAACACATTTCATTGGCTTAGTCCAAAATTCGAAGACCGTGTTAGGCACATTCAGTCAGAAATGAGTTTAAAATGAGAGCCTTTCCCAGCTTGTAGGAAGATTAGCAGATCTACATTGTTACGTTTCACATAAATTGTGCATGGTTCATGAGGAGGTCTCAGTAAAAGACTTAGATGTGTGACTACGTGGTAGGAGAGAAATTTGGGAGTCTGTTGGGATAGAGGATTTCTGAGTTGTATTTGCCAAGTTTTTTGTGTATTGGTTCTCAGAAACCAAACAACCTTGATTGAAAGAGGCAGGAAATTTAATGTTCACACTTTTCTATTTGTAATTAAATACATTGACATCAACTTGAACCTTTAGAATAATCAGATGTAATGAATGATAATGTCTATGATTAACATTCTGTGAGTTGCCGGATGAATAAGTAGAGCTTATTGTTGTTAGGTACCAGCCAGTCTTAGTGTAGTACCTTATAATTTTGCCCTCGGCTGTGCAAATGGACTGCATTGTACTTTTAAATGTAGGACATTGAATGGGAGCTGAGGACATGACATTTTTATTCTGAAAGATAGAAAACTACTCCTCCGTTAAAAAGGAGTTAGATTCGGAGTTAACGAAAAGGTTGATTAAACAGGGCTTCCTAACTAATTGGATCTCAAAGATGTGTGGCTTTATAGCTTATGATGTCCCCCGCCCCCTTCTTTTTCGTAGCTGATATTCACTGATGGACTCCAAAGAATCATTAAGCAAGCCTCCCAGCAGAGAAGAAACCTCCAGCAGTGTGCGTGGTCGGGGGAGAGGAAATGTGATGGACTTCTATAAAACTGTAAGGGGAGGAGTTACTGTGAAGGTTCTTGCATCTTCACCCTCACTGGCTGCTGCTTCCCAGTCAGACTCCAAGCAGCAAAGACTCTTGGTTGATTTTCCAAAAGGCTCAGCAAGCAATGTGCAACAGCAGCCAGATCTCTCCAAAGCAGTTTCACTCTCAATGGGATTGTATATGGGAGAAACTGAAACAAAAGTGATGGGAAATGATTTGGGATTCCCACAGCAGGGCCAAATCAGCCTTTCCTCTGGGGAAACAGACTTTCAGCTTCTGGAAGAAAGCATCGCAAACCTCAACAAGTCAGCCAGTGTTCCAGAGAACCCCACGAGTTCAGCATCCTCCGCTGCTTCTGCTGCCCCCACAGAAAAAGAGGTTCCCAAAACTCACCCTGATGGGTCTTCAGAACAGCAAAATTTGAAGGGCCAGACCGGCACCAATGGTGCCAATGTGAAGTTGTATACCACAGACCAAAGCACCTTTGACATTTTGCAAGATTTGGAGTTTTCTTCTGGGTCCCCAGGTAAGGAGACAAATGAGAGCCCTTGGAGATCAGACCTCTTGATAGATGAAAACTATTTGCTTTCTCCTTTGGCAGCAGAGTCTGATCCATTCCTTTTAGAAGAAAACTTAAATGAGGACTGCAAACCTCTTCTTTTACCGGACACTAAACCGAAACTTAAGGATAATGGAGATCTGATCTTATCCAGCCCCAGCAGCGTGCCATTGCCCCAGGTGAAAACAGAAAAAGAAGATTTCATTGAACTCTGCACTCCTGGGGTAATTAAACAAGAGAAATTGGGCCCAGTTTACTGTCAGTCAACCTTTTCTGGAGCAAATATAATTGGTAATAAAGCATCCGCCATCTCTGTTCATGGTGTGAGTACTTCTGGGGGACAGATCTACCACTATGACATGAACACAGCATCCGTTCCGCAACAGCAGGATCAGAAGCCTGTTTTTAATGTCATTCCACCAATTCCTGTTGGTTCAGAAAACTGGAATAGGTGCCAAGGATCTGGAGATGACAACCTGACTTCATTGGGGACTTTGAACTTCTCTAGTCGGTCGCTTTTTTCTAATGGCTACTCAAGGTAAGATTAACACTTTTTTTTGTTTCTCAAAGCTAAGACAGATTGACTCAGATTTCAATATTTATTGTATGTGTTTTTCAGTTTGATTTGCTGTGGATAGGTTTAAGTGGACTTCTGAAAGTAGATATGATAGCCAATCTAAGTGATTAATTTGCGCATAACTGTTTCAAGTTTTCTTCCCGAAATACTGAGGTTCATATTCCATTGACATGGTTAAAGGTTTTTTACATTTTAAAATAGTTTTATATACTTGTAGGTATTTTATGTAAAAACTGTTTGAAGCATTAGCAACAGGAGATTAAAGGTTAAAAATTACACGTGCCAGCAATCAACCTTCTGTTGAAGAACTTGAGCAGGGCGCCAGACCATTGGTTCTCAACCTGTGGGTCGCGACCCCATTGAGGGTTGAAAGACCCTTTCACAGGGGCCGCCTGATTCATAACAGTAGCAAAATTACAGTTATGAAGTAGCAACGAAAATAATGTTATGGTTGGGTGGGGGGGTCACCACAACCTGTATTAAAGGGTCGCAGCATTAGGAAGGTTGAGAACCACTACAGTAGAAATGCTGGGCTTGACCCCAGGGATCCCACCTACATTAGACAAGCTGTGTCTGCTGTGTCTCTTTAAAAAAGGAATGGATTACAGTGTTGTACAAAATTCTACTTTTAAATGTTCTCTCAAGTTCTCAAATAGCTAACTGATGGCTAGATTTGTTAAGCCTCCACTCTCCCTGTCTTTTGATTTCTCTCTGCTCTGTATCTAACTAACACCTACTCCCCCCTCCCAACCTCTCTGTGACTCAGTCATTTATATGCATTCTGGCAGTTACTGTCTGGCCTCAGAAACGTCTACTAAAATGTTATCTCCAGAAAAAAATATTCTTATCATTTAGAGGGATGGGTTGATGGGGGTTAAGTGCCCCCATCCTCTGTCCCCAGTCCCAATTCAGATAAGTGTTGGACTGTATATCCATTGTAGGTTTCAAGGAAAAAGTAAACATGGATTGTAGACAGACATTGATTAATGAGCGGCTTTTTGAATGAAGACATATTAGACACAATGATTTATTTGTACATAACCGGTTAGCTCCATTTTTTAAGTGATGTTCATTGTTCCCATTAACTAGTCATTGTGGATTACTTAAATAACTCTAGAATAACCCTAACACTAAAGTAGCTCTGTTCCTCTTTAATTGGTATATTTTTCTTGTTGAGGGAAAAAAATTAGACTTCGGCAATGTTCAAAAAGACTTATTTCCTCTCAAACAGCAACAAAAAAACCCTTTAGATTATAAAGACATGCAAAAACTAAAGTACCTGCTGATCTTCATAAATAAAACTTTCACTTTGTATTATTTTTCTGAATTGAAGGTTTAAAATGTATTTAGTTGGAGATTGGGATGTTCTGTTGCATAAACAATTTTGCTTTGGGGCGAGTGGGGAAGAACAACAGTTTTGCTTTAAATGTTGAAAGACATGCCGTGTTTTATTATTTTCAGTTTTAAACTATTTGTCAGTGGAATTCATAGCTGAACGTGTTTGGTTCTCTTAAAAGAGCAAGTGTAGATAATATGATTAAGCTGTCTGTAGGACACTATTAAATTGATTTGTAAAAAATTTATACTGTCCAAAGAAAAATAATGCGTCTTAGAAAACACTATGGGATTATGAATGCATGTTGTCCTGATAATCACCATGGTATTGCTTCCATTTCTTTTACTATAAGAAAAACGAGACATCGTTTTCCATTCACTATGAACTTTCATTAAGCTCTATAAGATCTGGGAGATGGCGCATAAATCTTAGATGAACATAATTATCCTTAAATCATTGAAGATCATTTTCATTTTTATGCTTTTAACCTTTATAGTACTTTGACACAGAAAGTGTCTTCACATATTTTTAATTTGAGCCTCATAACAGCGTATGAAACTAAGCAAAGCAATAATGATGTGACTCTTTAGAAATTCTTTACTGTCAAATGAAATTATTTTTTATGCCACTGTGTGATTTGGAACTGTAATTTAGTCTGTGTCCTGAAGAACAGGCATTAATATCTTCTCCAGCATAACTCGGTAACGTTTGAAAATGTTATAGCTTATGACATTCAGGAACTTAGCATTGGGAACCCTTGATTGCTCAGAACAAAGCTTCTTCCAAACAAACGGACACAGTGTTTCTTTTCTGCTCATCACTGAATTAGTCTTTTGTTTCCAAATAACAATGTAATCAATGTAACTCCGATTGGTTGTTTTCTGTGTTGCTTGACTCTAGCCAAATGTTAGCCATGACCAGTGATCCTTAGTGATTCACCTGTTGAGAGCACAGCTGGATGGAAAATTTACCACCTGATTTAAGAGAGAAAAGCTATTAAATTTACAAATAAATCCACTGGCATTCTTTTTAGATAAAAATATCAATTATAATATGGCTGACTTTTAAATATTACACCTACCATTGCTATTTCTCAAAACAGGTAGAGCAACAACAAAAGCCTATTGCTGTGGGGGAAGAGGATTCCTTCAGCTGTGTCAGTGCGTCACGATACCCAGTTTATATTAGATTGTAAAATTAGTAAAGCGGTTTTTAAGGCTTTGACTTAGGGTCATAAAATAAATCTTTTACTGCTAAAACTCCTTTAATTAAATGAACTAGACATTCTAATTTAATATGCTTTTAAATACTGAAGTCAGTTAAGTTTACCATAAATTTTGTCACATTTATAAAAGTACATTTTTGCATAATTTTTTAGTCAACATTGTTTCTTCAGTTTATCGATGGTGAAACTGTTGCAGAGACAGCTCAAAGAAGTAGATGGTTTCTGTTGGAGTTAGTTTTATTATGTTAAATGACTGTGTTGGGATTTTAGTGTGAAAAAGTTGACTGTCTTCTAAGGGAAGGGGAGTAATGAGAGGTGGGCTGCCAGATGACCTTGTGAACTCAGTCCTAAATGCTGTGTAGCACTGTGATGAATGGTGATGAATTAAGCAACTAAAACTTGTGCAGATTTAACATCTCATTATTGTGCCCGTATTTAACTTTATGAAGGTAATGAAAAAGAAGACCTGTATAAACCTAGGAGGAGGGAAGCAAATTCTGCCCTACTCATTTTTCGAAAATTAGCTTCATCTTGAATGCTTTCTCTCACAAATGGAGGAGCCATAAAGAAATTTTATATTACGATTTATACTGCTGTTAATAGATAAGTTTTCCTCTCCATCCAAGAGGCCCAGCAGTGGCTGTTTTGATGTCCCTTAGAGTTAAGGTTTCTGAGCGTCACTCATATAAAGTGACTTCTGAATATTGAAGGAGAGTTTTCATGGGTACTTATTTATGACCGGCATCAAAAAGTTCATAGAAAATATCCATTTTCTCTTAATTCCCTTCCATAAACATTTTTAAGTCCGCCTCCTATTTCTTGCTCTATGGTCTTGTAAGGTACTTTTTCTCCCTCCTTTTTTAATCTTATACTTCGTTATGAGTAAATTATTAGTCAAAGGGAGGAAAGCAAACCATAAGACAAAATACACTGTATATTCAGGTATCTCAATTTAGTATGGAGACAGAAATGTGCGACTAGCATGTGGCCACATCTTTTGAAATTACTTCCTCTCATAGTTCTGTGATTAGAGCATTGCATTTTTATAAAGAGTAGCGTACTTAGCATTCAGAATCTTTTGGTTTGTTGATTAATGTTACAGATAATTTACTTAATGAGACCACTTTCAGTATTGAATATTTGTACATTTTATGAAAACTTGGATTCAAAGACATACCTTATAGGTTAAATGCAAAATATATTCATATGAGGGAGCTTCAAAAATTGTGGGAAAATTCCATTATTTAGTTCCTTTGTTCCAAACTTTTTGAAAGCCCCTCCTCCCCCTGCCCCCAAAGGCAAGATTTTAATTTAACTGTTAACAGGCTTCATACTAAAATAAACTTGGGTTGCTATCTTAGTGAAGAGATGGATCAACCCGAGTTTATTTTAGTATGAGTGTCTAATGTAAAGAGCATCTGTATTAATTGGTTGGTTATATAAGTTTTAAATCTACTCTGGCCTACTGATTTAAATAGCCTACTTTTGCCTGGAATTCTTAATTTACATAGATTTGGGGCATAATGTTTAAAACTTAAACATATTTTCTTATTTTAATGACTACACCTAGTTTTAATCGGCAGCGAGTTCTCATGTGTTATTATCTTTGGGTATATTAAATAGGCAAAAAGGTGTTTTAAATAGGCAAAATAAGGTTGGTTCTGCACCCTTCTGAGGACATCTGGTAATATTTTCATCAAAAGTAATTGTATATGTAGTATTTACAGGTATGTGCCAAATTAAAGGGCACTTGCTTACATGTTTCTGAGTCATTGGAACTATATATTGGTGAATCCTCTTGCAAAGGGTTTTCTAGAAATACTTATGTTGAATTAAGCTATAACTGGAAAAAGAAATCAATTACTTATTGACCTTTACAGAAGAGTTTAAAAGCTTACGCTCACCTTGTTTCTGTAGCCCCAGAGGCAACTGCCTTTTTCTTCTGACTTCTCCTTGGACTCTGTATTTCTCAGAAAAAATAAAAAATATTCCTACGGAGAACTTCTAGTCTAAAAACAGATCTATCCATTAAATGAATCCTTTCTCTTTGAATTGTTGAGTGATCGTGTCTATGCTAACATGGTTAGCTTAGTTATCCTAGTGCAGCTAAAAGGGAGCCCAGTGTTTAGTGATTTCAAGTTGGACTGCTAACGGCAAGGTCACGAATTCAAAACCACCAGTGAGCACCAAGGGGGAAACATGGGCCATTGTACTCCAGTAAACAGTTACAATCTTGCAAACCACAGGGGCTGTTCTAGCTTCTGTAGGGTTGCAGCAAGTGGGCATTGATTAGTGGCAGAGTGTTGCTATAAGAGAGATAAAGCCTAAGTGGTTGACTTTAATAAACTGAAATATATTCTCTCAAAAGTTTTGGAGACTGGAAGTTCAAATTCAGGGTTG